AATCAGGCAATCCTCGCACACAGGCCGGTCATCTCCTCACCGGCCTTTTCCCAAAAGTGGTCTCTCCACTGTTACTATCGGCAGAGTTTTATCCCATACCTCAAGCACAGCTCAACCGTCGCAATCGCGGTACCCAGACTCCAGTGGGGGGACAGCCTCACCTTCTTGCCCACAATACCCCGTCCCGTCTTACCGCTCTTGCACACCTCCGTTGGCACCGGGAATCACCCCTGCATACCACGGTAGGGACGAAAGTCAGCCCCCGGGCATTCACATCCATCGGTCCGATAAGAATCAGCCTTTACAACCGTACCGCGAGAGGCTACTAATCGCCTCCGGAGCTCCCTCTGAGCCCCACATGCAACGGCCCCCCCCCGCCCGTCAACAGGTCAGGCCCCACCTGAGGAGACGTTTCGCATCCCGCCCGGGCACGGCGTCGAGCCAAGCTCGGACCCACCCGGGCGAGAATGTTACTAATCAACCGGTGTGCCAACACCTACCCAACGGTTCGGTGGCGTGACCTTGCACATGAAAGCCCGGCGGCCTACCCGAAGAAAACGACGTTTCACAACCCGCACCAGTCGGTGCAGACCCACCCTTTCCTTCCGAAATGGTAGGACGCTCAACTCCCCATTCATGCAAACCACAAGTCCCAAGTGGGACACACATAGTACAGGTGCCTTTCCCATGGTGCTCCCAACGCTTCCTACTCATGCCTCATGTTTTTCTCTCGGGACCGTGTGTGCCACTCACCCCTAGTTTCCATACATCGTGCCCGGTTCCTTTTCGTGAGCATCTTCAAAGGCGAGCTAGTTTTCTTGGAGTCTAGCAACTCCCTTCATTCCCCTTATCTTCACTTGTGTGTCCGTTCATAGGGCGGGATTGTTCCTTTCCGATTACCATTTTGTTCATATGAGGTTCCTTCAAGCATTTCAAATGAAAGTGCAAGGAGCCCGTTGAGCTCCGAAGAAGAGAGAAAAAGGCACCCATGTCGGTCGGATCACTCCGCCGTGGGATTTTCATTGGCACCCGGCCTAGGCCGAGCACCAACCGCCTGCCAGGTAACCGGAGCCCTTCTTTCACACGAAGAGGAAGGGCCGACCTGTGGCTTGCCCAAGGCTTCCCCGGACTGGCGAACACCAGCACCGGAAGGAGGACTAGAGTCACCCCACGAGGCGGTGGCTAAATAAGTGCACATCACACATGCTATTCCTCCAGGCCTGGCTCTGCCATG